CTCCCCTCCCCCTCTCATACACTGATAAATCATAAGAAAGCAAAACAGAGAAAATCTGTTTTGTCAGGCGCATCACCTTTAGTTTATCACAGTTACAGCCCTGTCTCAGAAGTAACAGGAGGGTTAAGTCATATTACCTCCAGTAGGAAAACTGAAAAGAGGCAAACTGGAGCATCTAACTACAGTCATCTTGATCCTCTTCCCTTTTTTTCCTTCTCCAGGGGTGAAACTGCCTATCTCTTGGTTTACATGAAAAAGAATACTCAATAGCTTCATCCACAAATGTCTCAGGGCAGGCCCTGACTTTATTTTGGAGGTAAAATATTCGTCAAGAAGAATGTCTGAAAATCCATTTTGCACTGCGAGTGAGAGACCTTTTACAGAGCTCCATTTGCAGCCTCACAATTTTTGAATAAAGCCTAACAGAAGAGCCACATGAAAAGAGGCCTGGACCTTGGCCACTGAGGTGCATTTTAAGAACTACAAGTTTCCTCTTTTGATGCCCATTTACTAGAGCCCTGCATGTATATGAGACTCTTTGTATTTACATAGAACCTTTGTAAATACAAAGGTCCTTCTGGAGTACAGAAGGATGTCCAAGAGATTTTTGGAGATATCTTTGCAAGACTTGCTTGATAGGCAACTACCTCTGGGATGGAGCACAACAGGCAATTCATAACAACCCAGAGATTTGCTTCTTAAAACAGGAATTATGGTAGGAGTTTTGATCAAGTGGAATCACAGGGAATGTGTGGGTGTGTGTGGAGGACCACTGATGGATAGGAAGTTCAGTAGGTCAGATGGTGATTAGGGACATTTTGTCATTGGCTTCACAAGAGAACAGGCTCAGGTGTTGTGCTGAAAGGAAGTTCCAGAAGGCCAACATTTTCAAAGCTCAGTAACAATTTTTCAGAAAGAGCCCTGAAACAGGGGAAGGGGAGATATAACTTCAGCATGCCTAGATGTTCCGTTTTTCCCACCATTTTTCTGATTTATAGGAATTGTTCCTGTTGCTCACAGCTGCTGCAGCCAATGACTGTTGCAGCCAATGACTGTTGCAGCCAATGACTGCTGCAGCCAATGACTGCTGCAGCCAATGATCTTCTTCCTCGTCCTCTGCCCACTAGCCAGCACAATGAAGTGCATGCAAATGCTGGAGTAAGCTTGGGTAAAAGAAGCGGTACAGCAGTGTAAGTGCAACACAAGCCAGTGCAGTTAGCTCTGTTGAGAGGCAAGAGTGCAGGCAGTGCTGCACAAATTCAGTAATCCTGCTGCTGGTATCCAGTTCAGGTATCTTTGCATGGCACAACATTGTAAACATGCTTTTAGGTGGATCTGCTCCTCCAGTGTATTTCTTGCTAACTCCTCAGCAGTGCTGGAGAGAGCAGCTGGTTATAAAGTGAATCCTATTATCCCTGCAGAAAAATCTTCATGCCCTGCCACGTGCTTCTGATTTCCTAGTGCCTTTGGCTCAGAATGTATGCCTGTTGTTCATGAAGATCAATGGGAAATTAGGTTCATTCTTTCATTGAGGCCTTAGATGCCACAGTGTCATAGGTCCTTGAACTGTGCTGTAAGAGAAGGCACTTGTGGGTTTTAGTGAAGTGGGTAAATATCTCTTTAAGGGGAAGAGGCCCACCTTCTTCCAGCTCCACCCAACCTGGGGCTACATATGAGGTAAGCTATAGAAGACGGAGCAGTTTGTCAGGCCACTAAAGAAGATAAGAGCACCAGTGACTTTGTGCCAGACTGATCCCAATAGCTAAGGAACCTTAGAGCTGTGGAACTGAGCAGGGTGCAAGTAGGAGAGTGGCTAAAAGTGAGAAGAGAGACTGTTGGAGGCAGTCAGGTATAGAAGTGGCCTGGAGGTGGACAAGTGCTTAGTTATGACAGGGTAACAATAGCCAGAGAGGACCCTTTATAGTTCTCCCAGCTTGAATGGTAGGAGAACATTACTGACCAATAAGACCAGTTATTTGATATGCTGTGGTTGGTTGTAGAATAGTGTATAGAAGATTGTGGGGACTGTGCAGCTGCAGCACTTTTACCTTTATTATGGGGCTTGGCAAAAACCCAGAGGCTGACGATTGAGTGTTTCCAAAAATGCATCATCATATGCAGTCAGCTTTTATCCTTACCATTTTTCTAGGAACTCAGGGCAGTATCAGCCATCAGGACAATATTTTGGATTTTTAGAACTCCAGCTATTTCTATTCCTTGAGACAGAGATTACATTCAACCTGAAATATTAGAAAAATGGACACTTCAGATTATACAAACAGTGACATAGACAGAAAGTATCTCCAATAGTATCTGTTATCATTTACTTCCTTCCTGCTATGCCTATTACCAGAGCATCTAGTGCCTTTTCTACTTCTAGGAAGATAAAATATATGATATTTAAAATAATATATTTTGAATCTAGTGATATGAGCTTCATACCATGAAAGTTTGTGCTTCATATATACCTATAGATCTATGTCTGCCTTGGTTAGCCTGTAACAGTGGTTCTCAACCTTTTTTCTACTGGGACATATTTGCAAAGATCCATGAACTGTCCCAGCCCACATTCCTCTGACCATGCTGGTGCCCGGCCCCTTAGTCTCCTGCCTCGCCCCCATCCCCCAGCCCTACCGGAAGGGCCTCCAGCTGCCTCTGTCCTGCTTCAGCTGGAGTGCAGTGGCTGGGGTGGCCCTGGCTCATGCAAGTGGCAGCAGAGCAGTCTGGCCCCAGCACAAGCTAGAGGGAGGAGGAGGTCTATGGCACCTCCTGCCCTGGACTGGGGATGCTGCACTGTGCCAGGCAGCCTGGTCATGGCCCCTCTTGCCCCCCTGAGCAGTGTTTCCCAGCCACCCTGCCCCCACAAGCACACCAGCGTGGCCACACAGCTCTTCCCCACCCCCTTCCCCTGCTCCCATTGCCCCTCTGCCTTGCTGCAGCTTGTGACCCTTTGAAATATTCTTGTGACTCACTTTTGGGTCACAACTCATGGGCTGAGAAACACTGGTCTATAAGGTGCCTATATACATGTCTTTTACTTGAAGTAGCCCATGGAATTCTCTTTGTGTGCATCATAAAAACACATCACACTCTTAGATAATGACCAATCTGCAATATAAATGTTCTTATCATTTTGGCCTGATACATATTTCTGATTATTTAACATCATCATCCTCTCCTACCTCCATTTCGCAAAATGACATTCAGTGCTGTAGTTGTAGATAAAGACAGGCATAATTATTTGTGCCTGCAGCTGCACTTGTTTTGAAATCTAAATATTTGACTGCACCTACAAATCAGGCATCTAAGGCCAGGTGCAGACATTGCACTTTTATCACTGTAAATGATCAGAAACCAGTCTATACCCATATCAGAATAGAAGTTCAGCACACAGACTGGTTCCAAAATGGCAAAAAGTGATCCAAGTTTTGCTTCCCACAAAGGGTGAATGTTTGCTACCAATCTGAATTATGCCGCTTACAAAAAACGATGTAACTTTGATTCTGCCTCTGGCTTTTTGAATATCTGTGCTTAGCCTGTATGAAAACAATCTCAGATAAATGTGTTTACAATTTTGTTCCTGAATTAGAATATAGACATAAACTTAAAAATACAATATGAGAAGGAGAATCGCAACCAAGAAATAAAGTTAGTATGTTGTGTTTAAATGAAAGCTGAGACTCTTATGTAATAGCAGCATTTTGGGACCTGGCACTGTATGAGAAATGCTGCATATGACAAGGTTTGCAGTGAACCTGAAGGTTGGAGAAACTCATCTAAACAGCAATAACAACTTGTAACTTCCCTGAGTACAAACGTATTTCTGTGGAATGTCATTCCTCCCCAAATCAATTACTTTTATGAGAAAAGAAGAGCAGAACAAAGTGCAAATGGATCTAACTTTATTCCTCTTGACTTATCTTGTAGCCCCTTTTTCCCCACTCAGGCTCTCCAGCATGATACATTAAGCTTCAGCTTATTTGCCGCTATGTTTAATTGGCTGCTGTTACAATTCCCTGCTAGGACTCTCCCTCCTTACTAATCAACTCCTGATAATGGATAATTTGCCATTATTTGCATTCCCCTTACAGTGGTGAATCAACCAGAATATACTGTACTTGGGCTCCAGATTTCTGTATAGTACTACAATGAATCCCTTGGCATCTTCATTCTAACCTAAACTTAGAGTGTTATCTGGTTGCAGGTAGGTTTATGCTTGAGCTATGTATCATTCAGGATCATTTCTAGCTGCCTGATTTTAAAGTTGGCCCAATGTACTTCAGGCCTGCACCTTTATATCTGTCAGAGATCTGACAAGACAAGGTTCATCTGACAAGGCAGATGTAGTTGCTGCTTGCTACAAAGGTGCCTGTGTAATGTGGCTTGCAAGACTGGGGCTAAATAGCACCATCTAGAGCTTGGGTGAAGTCACAATGCACTTTTCCTAATGCACATTAAATTTAGTATCTCTAATGTGAGGTACTAAATAAATGTGCATTAGGCTGCCCTAATGTGCAGTAGTGAATGTGCATGCTTTTTTGGTGATGCTTAATGTGCAGTGCCTATTTTACTGTATATTAGTGTATTAGCACAGTTTTTATGTAATGCTTTAATGCTCAGTAAAATAGGCTACTTCACATTAAAGTGCACCCTGTGTGCACTTTAAAGACACACCTTGTGTTATCATTCCCTTCCATCCTCATCCCAAGTTCTTCTGGTTCACTTAGGCCGTAAGATATTCTTAGATTAGTTTTTAAACCATGAGGTTTAAATAACATGAAGCTCTTTCTATTTGACTTTCATTTTCTGAGCCCTTGGGGGTCACTTGGATTATATTTCCAGTTGTTACTCTATAACCATGAAATAAAGTTAATGTTATTTTGTTTGTTTAAATAAAAGCTGAGATGTTCATACAATAATAGCATTCTAAGAGCTGGAGCTTCATGAGGAATACTGGCATATCACAAGACTTACAATGAAACTGAGAGCTAGAGGCACTGGGTGCTCCGATTCTGATCTGGAGCCTTCTACAATGTTAAGTCTGGGCATCTTTCAAGATAACTGTTTGCTCTCTGATCAACTGGGTAGTGGTTTTCTTGAGAGGAGCCACATATGTCACACGTGAAATGTGGCAAAGGGTATAACTCATAGGTGGTGTACATATATTTTTTCTGTCAAGGGAACAGTCAAAATGACATAAAAGGAGGGAAATGTTAGAATTCCCCCTCCTTTTCCCCCTGTCCATTATTTCTAACCTTTTGTATTGGATCTAAATGCAAGTTTTTTCTACCATGTAACTGTCTGGTTAGAAGTGTAGTGTTTATTTTACATTTTTTTTCAATCTTTAGGTTTATCATTGCAACCCCTCATCTCATGTAAAGATGCCCAAAGAAGCTCAGCTTATTCTCTGTGGAGGGGAAATAAATAATATGGCTTTTGTTGATTGACAAATCCTTCATTTATATTAGAAAAGCAGCAGCAAGGGCTCTAGCCATGCTCCTGTATCATAGCTTTTATTAATCTATTAACAATCTTGTAACTTCACATGACTGTATCATGCTCTGTGCTACCACTCTCCCAGGAGAATAACTCTGATTTTTGGAAGAGTGAGATCATAGGAATAGCTGTGCTGAGCAGACCACTGGTCCAGCTGGTCCTCTTCAAAAGGCACTTGAACCAGCTGCTTCAGAAGAAGGCATAAGAAATGCCACAGCAGGTATCAATAAAACCCCTCAGGTAAAGTTTCTTCCTTAACCTTGTTAGTTAAGGTTTACCTTGCTTTCAGAAACTGAGATCTTGCATGTTTCTCATATGATCATGGGTATGTGGATCTCATGGTTGGACTGGAAAGTTTTGATGACAGGTTTGCAAAGGTATCTTAAGGTTATGCTTTAACAAG